CAATTGTCTCATCATGTGCTGCAGCTTTCTGGTGAGCAGCCTCCCCCACTCCCAAGTCTAGCTGTTCACCCTGGGTCACCTTGTTAGTATCACCAGGACACTTTAATCATTCAGAAATTTCCAAGAATTTTAGAAGCTCTCCACCAGGAACCTGGGACAAAGACCAGATGAATTCTTTATTAGAACACACTGGTATACCAAAGCATGGAAAATATGAAGGATGTGATGGGAGAGACATTTGGGAATATATATGTCAGGACAAATTATGGAGGTCTTAAATGCCACACCATATGTCTGAACTCTTTTTCTTCAATATTTTATTTCTTTATTCATGAGAGACACAGAGAGAGGCAGAGACACAGGCACAGAAAGAAGCAGGCTCCCTCCGGGGAGCCCAATGCCAGGCTCAATCCCAGGACCCCAGAATCACGACCTGAACCAAAGGCTCAACTACTGAGCCACCCAGGTATCCCTATGTCTGGACTCTTAAATGGGCTTGGGGAGTTACTGAATGTCTTTAAGAAATGAAGTTATGTAGGTGAACCTGACACTTAGGAAAAATCATCCTAGTATTAGCATGAAGCGTGGAGGAAAACGTATAAGACTATAGGCACAGACTTACCAGGAGATCATATCTGTATTTGAGGTAAGAGGAACTCAATGTATACAGTGGGGAAGGAGAGAAGGGACACACAAAAAATCAGCTGACTCTAGAAAGTGATGTGAAATAATGGCAAACCCTTGGAAAGAGCTCATTTAGCACTAGCTAAGGTTCTAAGTGCTTTCTGTAACCCATTTAACCCTCACTCTACAGTATAGTTACTATTATCTCCATTTAACAGATGAAGAACTGAGGTGTGAGAGGTCAAGTCATTTTCCTAAGGTTATACAGTTAGTAAGCCAAGCGGAGTCAGATTTTTTTTTATTGTAGTTCAATTTTCCAACATATGGTATAATGCCCAGTGCTCATCCCATCAAGTACCCCCCTCAATGCCCGTCACCCAGTTACCCCATCCCCCTCCCCACCTCCCCTTCCACTACCCTTTGTTTGTTTCCCAGAGTTAGGAGTCTCATGTTTTGTCATCCTCTCTAATTTTTCCCACTCATTTTCCCTCCTTTCCCTTATAATCCCTTTCACTATTTCTTATATTCCCCATATGAGTGAAACCGTATGATTGTCCTTCTCCAATTGACTTACTTTACTCAGCATAATACCCTCCAGTTCCATCCACGTCACCACTATTCGACAAAGCAGAGTCAGATTTTAAACCAAGCAGGCTGGCTCTGGAATTTGTACTCTTAACCATTTCTTGGCAAGAGAGGGAACAAAGATCCTTGGATTTCTTGCTCATATAGCTGAAGACACAGACTGAGATAGAAGCATACTCATTGTAAGTAGAAGATGGGGTGGGGTTAATGGAGGGCAGGGAAAGGAGTAATGAACTTTATTTTGGATCTGCTGATTTCAAGTGAACATGAGAAACATGTACAAATGTCTGCTATCTGGTCTCTTGCAACCAAAGAAAGTAAGGTCTCCCTGCTTCCCATTTTCAGCGGCTGGCATTATATTTTAGAGCTAAGATCTTAATGATGTTCTGCTTTTTAACTCTACTTGATTCTAAAATCTTTTCCTATAATTTCTATTTGTAATAATAGTCCACGTTGTCAGTATACAACACTTGTAAACTTGAAATCTTCCCATAATTTATTAAATTAGGATGATTATTCTGCTGAATTATTTTGAGATAATATTGTCCTCTTCTGATTTAATTTTTCCCACCAATATGAAACAAAAACGTATCTGATGTCTGTGGTCACTTCACTGGAACTGCAGTAAGGTACACTCCAAATAACATGGAAATAAGATAGGCCTCAGAGAAATGCTTTACTGTGAGATTTTATACAAAATTAATTAGAATAGAGGTATATAAAAGGTACCCTACAGAGACAAACATCACCCTCAAATGGGTGAGGCCGGCTAGATCCTGAGTGATTTCATAGACATGTCTAATTAACATATCTAAAGCGAAAAGTGTCCCTTCTATGAGTCGTCAACTATGAAGCACTGAGAAAGAGAGAGGTCAGAGAGGGAATCTCTGTTATTTCCCTCCAGGGACTCTTGTAAAAAGAATGTTATGGTCTCACTGGCAAGATGAATGCAATAAACTGTCAGCCTAATTTCATTAAATATTCTAATCTTCATGCCCTTTGTTCTTTTTTTTTTAAAGATTTATTTATGTATTCAATAGAGACACAGACTGAGAGAGAGAGGCAGAGACATAGGCAGAGGGAGAAGCAGGCTCCTCACCAAGAGCCTGATGTGGGACTCAATTCCGGATCCCAGTGTCATGACCTGAGCCAAAGGCAGGCACCTAACCGTTGAGCCACCCAGGCGTCCCTTTGCCCTTTGTTCTTATTCCAGTGACCAAATAACTCTATAATTAAGTTTCCAATGAAAGATCTGCCTCTAGGGCAAAAATTTTCTCATTCACTAACATGAATAACTTGGTTCCGGTATGTGAGATAGGACATAGCTACAACTCCCCACAGAAAACTCCTGTGTGGACATAGATTAAAAACTCCTAGCTTCTATACCATAGAGGCGGATAAAGGATGAGTTGCCTCAGTATTAGTGTAGCATGAATTTCAAGATCTGGAATAGGGCCATAAGGCCCAATTGATAAGACTAGCTAGGTGGGGAATCATTATCTGATATTGTTGAGAAGTTGTTTTCTTAGTTGCTAACATGGCTAAGGATAGAAAGACTTCAGCTTTATACTTCTCCAATCTGGCAAATATCTTACTTCACATGGGCTAACAAGACCACCAAGCATACCTCCTCAAGAAAATGGAAGTCAGGGGCACTGGCTCAGTGGGTTAATTGTCTTTGGCTCAGGTCGAGATCCCAGAGTCCTGGGATTGAGGCCCACATCAGGCTGCCCGGGTCAGTGGGGTGTCTGCTTCTCCCTCTCCCTCTGCTCTATTCATGTTTTCTCTCACTGGCTTGATTTCTCTCTCTCAAATAAATAAATATTTTTTTAAAAAAGAAAGAAAATAGAAGGCAATGAGAACTGCTATTTTAAGTGACAGAGACGGTTAGTGGTCCACTAAAATTTGTACCCTCCCCATGTTAGATTTGCACTGGCAGGAAGATTTCCTGAGACTACACTTCCCAGCCTCCCTTGCACTTAGAGGTAATCATGTGACCAGTCATCCTCAAACAAAATACAAGCAGAAATGTGTCTTCCTTCCAGGCCATAGTTTTTCAGAAAGTTCTTCAGCCTTCTCTACACACTCTTCCCCAACAAGCACTGGATATCAGTGACTACAGAGCCCTGGAAAACAGCAGAACCACAAAATGTAGGAATCCTGTAACCCAGAATCACCACCTGGAGAAAGCTGTTCACTGACTACAAACAGCTGATACATAAAACTATTTCATGAATGGAAAAATAAATATCTATTGTATGAGCTTTTGTAAATTTTAGAGTTTGTTTATGCAAACATTGCCCTAACGTGATTTGTTTGTCCTCTGCCCTGCTTACTGGCACTTGAGAATAAACTGCTAAAAGCAACTGAACCAGGAGCTAATTGTCACTCTCTCCCATCCTCAAACACAGAGAAGGTTCTCTGATCTGACCTCAGCAAATGTGAGAATTGGATGCTCCATAGTAGATGGTATGCCAGTTGTAGCATCAGTTGCTATGAGCTTGCTCAACATAGGTCTGTCTTAAAAGAGGAACCTACTCTCAATGGGCTGACACAATCAGATCCTCGAGGCTGGAAGGCTACAGGACTCAGCCCTTGGCCGTGAGAAATGCTCCAATCAAAATGCCTCCATACAAGATGTCTTGGGAGTGCTATTTCTCTCCTACACGTGCCTGGGAAGCACATACATATTCTTGGTGCCTCCTTTGTATTTTCAGGACTTGACGGGCAAGGAGAGGATGGTTCAGCAACTAAAACTCACAAATTATGATGCCCAACTAGAGATGAACAAAATCAAATTTTGGATAAACCAAAATCACTGGAAATATTCATGCTGGTATCTCTAACCCTTGCTACTGGCCGTGTTACCAGACCAGAGGCATCAGAGGGATCAACATCACAGGGAAGACCAGAGATCACAGATCAAGACCAGAGGCATCAACATCACAGGGAAGCTTGTTAGAAAGGCTAAATCCACTCTGAATTCTGAATCAGAATTAGCATTTTAACAAGATCTTTCAGTGATTTGGGGCTCATCAAAGTTTGAGAAGCCCAGCTCAGCCTTTCATCTCCTCTCCCACTTCATTTCTTCATCTTTTCCAAGATAAATGTCTGTGGTTTTATGTGTAGTCGGCTCCCAGCCATTTTTGTTTCTTGTGAAGCAGATATTATTAAATGGTCAGGAAACCTGGTATCACCTTCCTTGTGAGGAGCCTAAAAGTGGGTTCCAAAGGCAAATTCTCAAAACAGTTTCAAAGTCTTCCTCATCAATATACCCTAAAGTTCCAAAAAGCCTCCAAGAATTCTCATGGGCACTTCGATTTCCCTGCACACTGCTTTTCGTCCTAATAGGTTGATCCAGGAAGTGAACTCACTCCATAAAAGCCCAGCCTTCTACCAAGGAGGCCAACTGAACTCACTTTGCTTTCGTCACCGAAATCACTCATGTTCCCTGTTCGTGCATGTGTGGGCATTTGCTGACGTTATATCTGTAGATCAAAGTATGAAGATGGGGATGGGGGGGAAGGCCATTAAATTTCAGAATAAAATAAATTTTATTTGTATTCGCTGAGAAACACATTAAAATAAGTAAGCTCATGGAAACATTACACAGTCAGATGTTCCCCCAATTTTTTTATCATCACCTCCTGCTAAAGACTCCAAAGACAGAATAAGTAAAGGTGTGGGCAAACACCTACATTTACCCCTGTGAGAGAAACAACTATAACAAGGGGTACATTATTTCACCTAAGAACGACTTTCCAGTCTCACTTCATGGCTTCCTTTCTTCCTTCAGTTCTTCCTTTCTTTCTGATTTAAAAATATATCCTCAGGCATTTAAGCAAATTAATATGTCCCAGGCCATTAAGTAAGGTGACTGAAGATCTATTGCTTTTAAAACCCTAGATCTTTCAGAAACTTTAGTTTACACCTTATCAAAAATCTATAGCACCGGACTTCTTTCAAAGTCATTCCACTCTCTGAGAGTCTCCGATTTCCAAAAGAATTAATAGACAGAAATTCATAATCTCCAGGATTTTGTCATCATTAAAATGAAATAGGCATCGGTGTCAATAGAAGCACTAACACCAGCATAATAGTTCAAAAATTCTTCTTTTGAAACCTGAGGGGGATAAAAGGCAAGGGAAAAAAAAGGAGATGGTGTCAAAATATGTGAGACATAATAGAGCATTTTACCTTCTCCCTGAGATATTTTCTATGCAGTCTGATTTGCCCGTCAAGCAGAGTCAGGTAACTGGGGACCAGGGAAGCTGGCTCACCTTTCTCCTCTGAGGTGGGGTGTCTGCAAGGTCTGCCAAAGACCCACCTGCCTACTGGCTATCATTTTTTGCATTAAGATAAAAATTTTTAGAACTGTGCTATCCAATACAGTAGCCACTAGTCACATATGGCTTTTTAAATTTAAATTTGTTAAAATTAAACATAATGAAAAATTGAATTTCTCAGTTGCACTAGCCATATTTCAGTTGCTCAGCAGCCATCTGTGGCTAGTGGCTGACATCTTGGAGAGCACAGATGTAGAGCATTTCCACCATCCCAGGAGGTTCTATGGGTCAGTGCTACTCTAGAGCATACTTCATATGATCATACTTGTGATTATCACTAATTCTTTACAATAGAGAAATTTATAGCATACATGCACAGACACAAAGCTCTTTAAGGAAAGAAAGTTTAGACCAATCACATAAATAAGGATAGAACTAGAGGATGGGGCATTTCCCAGGATCCTTGGGCACCCCAGAATCCACAATGCTTGGGATTCAATAGCAAGATGGAAGGCACTAGCCATATGGGAGGTGCTAAAAGACAAACTTCTCAATTTGGTCAGGATATGTGTTAGTGTTTCATAATTGGCCCTGTGCATCCTATAATGGGCAATGAAATTAAAAGAGCAGAAATCAGCCCCTAAGTTCCATTTCTCTCTCCTTCCTCTTAACCTCCCCCAATCCTTAATACCAGCCACACAGAGTAGTCCTATTCCCCACAGTCCTAGGGGTACCACTCAGAGGCTGGGCATTGTGGGAACTTGCTTGGCCTGCTAGATGAGAGTGATCCAACCCTGCAGAAAAAGGAATATTAACATCAAATTTTCAAACTCTCATTCTTGGCTGTCACAATAATTTTAGGGGGGTAAGTTACATTTTGTCCTCTTAAAAGCATGAGGAAGTACAATTTGAGCAGGCCCTTATCATTTTCAAAGAAGAAATTTCATCACCTGCAAATGAAATGTCACCCAAGTAACATTTTTAAATGATCCAAAAGCACCATCTAGGAAGTAAACTTTTAAAGAAGCATGATATCTAATATGTTAGCTATTAAGAAGAAAAATGTTTTGGAAAGACTTTAAAACAGAAACAAAAGCTAGATGAACTCTTTTAGTACAAGAGTTGTTAATGTGTCAAGCCTTCAATTGAAGAAATGCTACTAAATCAGAATCATGTCAATGGCAAGGCACAGTATGATGCAGTGATAAAAAGACAAAGTTGGCATTAGATATTAAACTGTTTCTAACTTTGTAGGTCAAAGATTTATCAGTTTCTGGTTCCTTGAAGTCATATCCTAACTGTGGCCATTATGACAAATTTTTGCTCGAAAGCACTTAGCACTATAAGCATGTACAGCTTATTAACCAAATATTTTAAGATTAATATCATAAATGTCATAGAAATTCTGATTTATAAAACATTGCTTTTCAACTTCAATTTCTATTAAGGATACTATCAGGACAGGATTTACTTAGAGGAACTCCTCACTATCTAGAAAATAGTTTGTGTCACAGTTAGGTAAAGTATTGCCGCCGAGCAACTGGCCTAGGACTGTTTTCAGATATGTGGGAACTTTTTATGACTAGCATATTAATCACATTTATGTGTAAATAGATATTTCCAAGTATCTGTAAAACATACATGAACATAAGCAGGCACAGCTCTTATAATCTTTCTATACAGACTTGCTTAACAATGATTCTTTTTAGTACAGATGAAACAGAAATAAATTTTCACTCAAACCTATCTGAGTGAGCTCAATTAGTGGAGCTGAAATTATTGGTAATTTACTGTATCTACTGTGAAGCTTCAAAGATAATCTTAAAAAAGAGATAATCTTAAATAAATGGATGTTGAATGATATTGCTAAATGAGATTTTAGGCCTAAGTATGAAATCTGTGGAACAGAGTTTATTCTGCAGTCCCCTTGGAAACAAAAAAAGAATGATCTGGGTTTCATAAGGCAATGCCTGACATTTGGTAATGCCCGGCATCTGTGCTGCACTTTATAGCATCAAGGTGGAAGCACTCTGAGGCTCACTATCACCCCGGCAAGAGCAAGCCACTCTGCCATCTGTCATTTTCCCTCAATTACAGGTTCCTTTTTCTGTTCTAAGGCTCTCTGAGAGCACTGACTGGCATCAGTTCTGCATGTGGCCCGAGTGTTTCTAGGAGACCAGCAACTCAAACCTTTCAAGTTTAAGATCAAGATGTTCCCAGAATCAATACCAGTGTCTGAGTGCCAAGTGTTAAGGTTTATAAAGAAAAAGTTACTCAAGTCTTTCATGACAGGATTACAAACTACATACTCAGATCTTGCCTCAAAATTTCGGGTGCTTGAGCTCTGAGTCACAGGGTTGCTCTTAAATTTTTTATGGGTTCTCACGCAGAACAAAACTGGAGGTGAATGACAGTTACATGGGCAGCGTAATGGGTCCAACCCATGCACATCTGAGCTGTGCGCCACTTGTGCCCATGTTGGGAGCAAGAGTGGGAACAGGAAACCCATGGTGCTCACAAGAACTTTGGTGAAGCAGAAATTGCGTCAACCATGTTCAATGGCTGTTAGAATTTGTATCATACTCCAGAGAAATCATAAACGAATAAATTCCATTTGTGAAGAGAAAGAAGAATCTAGAACAAAAGAAAGTAGGCCAGTACATTTTGAGATTTTCTTTCCCTGATACAATATACCTTTCTGGTAGTTGCAAGGTCCATTATCAAAACCTCAGCTACTGGTCGGTGGTTCATATTCTCGGTGAGTCTCACTCCTAAAGAGCACCTTCCACTCTATTCTGCTGAGGGAAGATACTGGCTTTGGCGAAGCAGGTGTGAAAATAAAACAAGAAGGTCATGCTATTCTCAGAGAGGAAGAGCTGCTTCACCACAAGCTTCTCACCGCACCAACTGAGGTGGCAAGAGAACTCTTCTCACACAGCAGTGTTCTCAGAACCCCCATCAATCATTTGTTTATGTTTCTTTCAACAGATTTCACCCGTCATCTGTTTTATAAGACATAATTTTAGGGGATTCATTTAGTGAGGGTTTTTTATGATGTGGAAAGGACTAGCTCTCTCTATCAAGGTTATGGAGTTTCCACATCCGCGACTTGGAGGAGTAGAACCACTCTTAGAAACACTGGCTTTCCAAAGGATCGGTTATGTGAAGATAACATTCTATGACCATCTATCAGATCCTCGGCTCCTTTGTTTTCCCCTGAATCATAAGCATTTCTAAAATTTGCAACTTTGCTGCTTCTTTCAACACACTCTTAATTTACAAGTACAGCCTATAATTTCCAGGAAAGCGAGTTTGTTGACTGATCTGAGAAATTTGAATTGGTGGGGTTTTTCATTCTCTGCCCCAGAGAGTTGTTCATAAATCCAGAAAGGTATACCACTCGGAGGGTGTTAGCAGAATTGCATGAAGAAGGAGCAGAAGGACGCCCACATACCAGCCAAGAATACATATTTGGTTAATATCATCTCTCCACTTGATTAAACATCAGCAGAACAAATTGCATCTGTCAATTGCCTACAGAGGGTTGAATCATTACCTACTTGTACGCTCACGGCTCAGTAAGGCAGTCCACACTGGCCAAGAGAAGGGAACGGCTGACACAATGATCTGCCTCCAAGAATAGAGGGGTATTTTCCTGGCAGGTCTTGACAGATTGTCTACGTTCATTAAATTTACCACATGGTTCTGCAACACATTGCCAAAGAAAGGGCCCTAACCATCCTGGCTTCAGTGCCGAGGCTTCCCCTCCTCTCCAATCTCTTAACAGTTGGGCTGTTAGTTGGGTTTCAAAACCAGTGGTTTTATTTACATTCATCCTTACCCCTTCCTTGTGTCCCCACAGCCTAGAGTAGAGCAGGACACACAGCAGTGACTCCATAAATATTTGGTGATGGGATATATTTAACCTAAAACTGTAATGTGACAAAGCTAATCTGTAGCTTACCTGGTGGGGACCCAGCTCTGCCTCAAGAAGCTGCTATGAGGGTATGAAGCACTACTCCATGCTGCCACCAAACCACAAAAAGCCATGCAGCATCCTCCAGAGTGCCATTTGGGTCTGGGAAAAACTCCTATCGAGGTTTGAATGTCTATGAAAATCAGCCGTACAGACTCAGGCTACACCACCAATGCTTCTTAGATTACTCACTTGCACTCTGAATGGAATTCAGGCAGGATGGGAACCAGTCCTTGAAGAAGCTGGTTAGGGGCAGACCTCTGTTCTTGCCTACGTTTGCCTTTTGGGGGAGTTAGAACCCAGATTCAGTACTGATATTGGTGGCTTACTCTGGCCAATCCTGATTCTCAGAATTTTTACGTACACTGTTTCTGTTTTGTGAAAAGCTGCCAAGCTCATCCTCTTCTCTTGGGCTTGTCTGTTTACTTCCTATCTGGGGTCCAGGTAGGAATCCTAAGGATTGAGGATATTTTATTGTGTTTTATCTTCTGACCTCAGTATTTACCTTTTAATTGCAAATGGAGTAATATTTAAATTGTGTAAGTTAAATAAACAGAAAATACATCCAGAAAAGTGTTGTTAGTGGATGATTTTTCTTAAATGACTTTATTTCTCTAATGAGTGAGTCCTGACTAGGTCAGAAATCACAGATAAGACTCAGAATAGGAGTGGAGCACTCCCCGCTGGGGCTGGGGGGGTAAACCTTGGTGGAATCCTTGCTTGTGGGCCCAGAACCTGACCTGATGGAAGAGAGACAACCAAATGTGGCCAAATACACTCTAAGGAATAGGCTATCTGAAATCTGATAGCTGTGCCCCAATTAGACAGGAAGCAAAAGTACGATTGGGGAAGACGAAGCTGATAGCTACAACCTAGTCCTTGTTCAGAATCACATGCTAACACTATGGCCCCAGTTAAGCAGAGGCATGAGTCATTCCCAAAATCAAAGACACAGATCTATCTAGAGCAGTGAGCTTGAAATCATGTCAGAAAACTAGAACTTCTCCTTTGCCATAATCTGCAAAGGTGTAGATTACAGAAAACATGGATATTTTCCCTATACATTCCATCATAATCATTTCTGGATTTCTACCTCATTTCTATATATTTCTTCATAACACTTGGCATCTTTCGGCCTGCTCATCTTTATATATGCCTATATAATAAAGTCATGGGAAAAGCATACGTGTGCAATTAGTTTCTGAAAAGCTAGCTTCCCATAATTTGGGGTTGCTCCCATCCTCAAGAAAAAGGTCACTTGTCCAGCCTATTATCAGAATAAGTGGGAGATTAGCTTCTTGACGACAAACAAGCTGCTACAATTCTCATCTGGAAGCACCTGCTTTAAACACATTTTAAATCAATGTGTATCTTGATCTCCACTTCCAAGTCTGTGAGATAAAAAGTAAACAAGTGTTTTGGTACAAAATACGGCAAGTGAGTTTGACCATAAACCCAGAGCCACTTCTATACATGGGATCTTAAAGTGGACTATTATCCCAATCCATGTCTCCAAATGAGGGGATGACTGCAGCTAGGGACAGAGGTGACAAAAAGGACTGTCCTTGAGGAACAAAGCAGGTGGTCATTACCTCCAGCAGCATAGCCAAGAGGCTGGTCCCTTTGCTTTGACCTCTGGCCCCAGACACAGGACACACAGAGGGGCAGTGGTGGTTTCAATATCTATTTGCTAGTAGCTGTGGCTGCCTTTGCTTGGAAGCCATTCCTGGGGAGATTCTCACACATTGACAATATGAAGCTAAAGCTTAGAACTGAAAGGAGAATACTCTGGGCCATGAAGTATAAGATGGAAAACCCTCTTTGGAGTAGGCCTGTGATCCTTGTCTATGTCATACCTCACCCCCTTGTACAGGTGGGAATATCAACATTATTGGCTCATGGCAGGGAGTGGAGAGATGAACATTCCACTGGACAAAAGTTTGTTGATATGGTCTGCTCACTCACCCACATAAAATCTGAGAGCACAGCCCAGCCTCAAACTTTAACCACTAGGATGGTCCTAGCTCTACTGCTCAAGGAAATAGCCTCCTCTCTCACAGAAACTTTAGTTGACCCAAAAATGTCATTCTAAATCTATTCGCCAAACTGAGGCTTCCCTAAACCACTGGCAGAGAAACTCAAGACTCAGGTATAAAAATTGAGGCTAATGTGTGGTTCTCTTCTGGTCCCCAATTTGGAACTGATGCGCTTAACGACTTACAGTCCGTTATAAAAACAGGTGAATTCTCTTACCTAGAAATGGGCCATCTAAAAGGAAGTGAAGATGCACCCTGTGGGTACATGGGTGCATATTGTAATTAAATATTCAAACTTTTATTAATGGGCACCCATGTTTATTGGACATGTGTATGTACCCTAGAGCCTGGCTTTAGGATCTTTTTGAATCTTATTTTAATTTAATTTCTCTATCAGAGCTAAGGAAAAAGCTTCACAGAAGTGAAGTCACAGTTAACTACATAGTGTCATTTCTGCCCTAGAAAATGCAGCATGTGTCGACATAAAAGACACACTGGGATGAACATTAAATCAAGTGTGATCCCGGTTTGGGGCTGATGTTTAATCATTTGGAGCCACGTGGCTGTACCCAAGGCCCTGGTCCCCAGGTCCTACATTTAGAGCTTCCAGGCAGTTCTCATCATGACAATGAAATACACATCCGTGTCAATGGACGCGCTCACTCCTGCATAGTAGTTCATAAACTCCTCGGGGGTCACCTGCAGTGAAAAAGTCAGAAACAAAAACAAAACTTTGCTTCCCACCATTTCAGCAGAGGCCCATCTCCAGTACCTGTAAATGGGAGGGGAACTTTGGCCAAGGCTTTTTAGTGACACAGATCAAGAATAAGATCTCAGACAAGAGGAAACAATCACACTGAGGATGACCGTGAGGGGTAGCAGTGGGGGAAGATGGGTAGAAAGTCTCGAAAATTTCCAGACCAACCTAAATGGAAAGTGAGATATAGGTTCTCGCCTTTCTCTACAGCAGGAGCCCATATTCTGTTCGGAAACGTGAGACTGAAACTCAGAATAAGAAACAAGTTTCTTTGGTGGTAGTTAGTACGGGCTTTCTGTGACATGTCAGATATAGCACCACAGGTCCTAGAGTCCGGGCAAGCAACGTTTCAGAAAGTGGAATTCTGTCCTGTGGATAAAGAAACAGATTTCTAGTTAAATATTCTTTGGCTTCATTCTTTTCAAAGATAGAACTTACTCACTTCAAGGCAGAAAGTGAGAAGGAAAAAAAAGACACCCCCCTTCTCCATGTCTCCCCACACCACCCTGGGTCCTCTCTCCATCCTGTGCCTGTAACTGTCTTTTGGAATATCGATTTGTGTTTATCTAGGCTAGAATTTGATATGACTTTCCTTCTAGAAAGAAGAAACAACAGTTCTCAATCTTATTTTTTTTAAGACTTTATCTATTTGAGAGCAAGAGAGAGAGAGAGAGGGAGAGCATGAGCTGGGGGAGGGGCAGAAGGAGAAGGGGAACAGACTCCTCGCTGAGCTGGTTGCTGATGCAGGGCTCCATCTCAGGACCAGGAGATCATGACCTGAGCTGAAGGCAGACCCTTAACCCAACTGAGCTCCCCAGGCGCCCCTCAATCTAATTTTTTAAGAGGTATAGGCAATATGTACACTGCATTTCAACCATACTGGCTGACATACTTAAGTGACTCAGGGAAAGAACAGCCTTCCTGTTTGAGCTCTGTGACCAATCAATTTAACTGAAAGTACAGCCCGGCTTACATGGGAGGACACAGATGCAAATAATGATGGCTGTTTAGGAAATTTATTGTTCTCTAGTGAGCCTTCAATCTTAAGCGTCACAAGGGATTAAAAACATCACAAAAAGTGAAACTCATCAATAATTCAAAACCCCTCTTCCACGGAGTGCCTACCTACATCTTCTAAGAATCACACAAGCTGAATGACCCACTTGCCTTTTGTGCTGCAATTTTAAGTGAACAGAGAAAAAAAGTCACAGGATCCCTATTTCTCTCCCTGTACCTACTCCCCACACAACCCCAAAATAGTAAAATGCAGAGGGAAGAAAGTCATTGGACAGAACTAAGAGGTAAGTTGGGCTTCCCAGTGGTCTAGAAGTAGAAAGAAATATGTGCATAGTTTTTATTAAAATTAAAATACCACTAATGTTCTCCTTTCTTCAATTTCTTTACTCACATCCTCCATTGCATTCCCCCGTTATCCAGCATTCAACCTCATCTGGAAGCCAGGTTACATAAAACCAGACATCAGAGCTAATATGTTTGACCATTTCAGAAAAGGCCATCAGTTATTCTTGGATGAGGTGTCTGCTTATTTCCCGAGACTCAACTTACACTGAGAATCGCCTGAATCACAAACCCTATGATTTCCCCACACTTGCCCTCATCATAGTAAATTCCTTTTCAGTAATAATAACTATGACTACTTAATTATTTTGTTGGACATTTAGTAAAAAGTGAGAAAGTGCACGCCCCTGCTCTTGGTCAGCCTCTAGACTATGCTACTCCTAGTTAATAGAATATTTGTTACATAATGAGAAGGTTGTAGGTGGGAGCAATGGAAATATCTGAGTCATGATACAGAGTACAGCACCTTTTACTCTGTTTAAGATTGATTTTTTTAAAAAAATCATAAAATAAGTTTGAGATTATTTATATACACTCGGTAGCATATTTAAAATAATTTTAATTATTAAAAACGTCTACATGAGATAGATAAGACAATACCCATATTCTCTCAAAGGCTAATCTACTTCTGAGAGATTTTTAAAATATATTTGTGGTTGTAAAATAATATATATAAATGAAAATTTTCAAATCTATATATTAAATAAAAAGTGAAAGTCTCACTCAACTAGGGTGGGGTTTAGGGATAGAAAGGCATGGCTGGTTACATGCCCAACTCTTGATTTTGGCTCAGGTCTGATCGGCGAGGAGTCTGCTTGAGATTTTCTCTCTCTCTGCCTGTGCCCCTTCCCATGCTCATGCTCTCTCTCTCTCTCTCTCTCTCTCTCTCTCTCTCTGTCTCTCTCCCTCCCTCTCAAATAGATAAATATTAAAAAAAAAGAACTTGAATGAGGAAGGTTCACTTCACACATTATTTGGTTGCTTTCATACCTCCATCCACATGGCTTCTGGTGCACAGGCTGCTCTGAGAGCAGGATGTGGGGATTATTAGGATGGGATCTGTTACATCCAAATCCATGGCTGCTGTAAACCCCAGGAGCCTTTATGACTACTTGAGAGCTTAGCCTACATTATTAAAAGTCCACAAATTTAAGCACCATCCTTAGCTGGGGAGTATGCTGAATTTCTTGCCTTTTTCTGAATTCTGTCCTACTTGGATATCCACTATATATTTTTAACCATAAATGAGTGCACTGGCTTCAAACATAGCTATGCTTCACTGTAAGAAATCTTAATGTATAAGACAACTCAATTTGGAAAAGATAAATTAAGAACTAATTGTTCTCTTCATAAAAAAAATTGCCGCGGAGTTTGTTTACATCAACAGTTACCATGTGCATTTAAAATATGATTCAGTGTGCAAAAGTCTGAATCACACATCACTTTTCAGAAACCTTTTCATGATGTCCCTTAACACAATACCCTGTAGATAAGTACTCCATAAATGATCCAGATCCATAATTATGTCACATGAGATTCTTGTGCATGATATTATACGTATCATATGTAGTGATTAAAAATAGGCACTTCTGAATCTTTCAGGGACAAGGATCTCAAATATGAATGTGAATAAGAATTATCTAGGGCACTTTTACTAAAACTGCAAATCCTCCGTCTCCACCCACAAATAGATTCTGAAGTTCTGCAGTACAGCCAGCAGTACATACTCCAGATAATGAGCAGGAACAGTCAGCTGGGTATTCGCACAGGGTCTGTGATACTCGGGTGGTATCAAACACTATAACTGCTAAAAACCCTAAGGACCTTTATGAGCATTTGAGAACTTAAGGTGGCTTGTTAAAATAAATGTTGAAAGGGACAGCGGTGGGAACTTTAAATCAGCTGAATCATAACAACCGGCCACTTTGACTTGGGTTAGAGCAAAGGGCAGCTGAGGTTTCCCCTGGCAACGAGGAGAAGGAACCACCTGCAGAGAGGAGGCAAGCACACCCAGGGATCTCATGTGGAGGTGGGCTAATTTGGGGAAATGGCAGTTGACTATTTTTCCACTGCCATTGCAGAGATCAAAAGCCAGCAATGTTGGAAGAAAACATATGGTTCGATTCTGTTATTTCTGTCCCTAAGCATTAGGCTGCCCTACAGAATCGAAGCACCGCCCACCTCCCTTTCTTTTCATCCACCTGTAATCCCTTCACTAAAATGAAGGGTATTTCTCTGTCCCCAGTGGGAAAATGTCAGCAGGAAGGAAAGAAAGGTCACCTTCCTAGTCCCCTGACCCTGTGCTAATAAGACTCAGCATGAAGTTTCATCGAAAAAGTTGGGGGAAACTCCCTTCAGAAGGGGAAGCCTTGTTTCCTGTTCCTATCATTGCCATCTTCTCTTCCTGCTCACTACTCCTTCCTGTGTGAGGCAGGGGTTGGGAGGAACCCTCCCCAGAGTTCTGCTGCTCTGTCAGCCTCGAAGAACGCTCCCTACCCCATCATCAGAGTCTCCGAAGACACCTACCAGCAGAACTGGGGCTGAATTCAAATGTCCACTTATGGTTGTTGATAAGAGACAGAAGGGGTGCCTGGATGGCTCAATCAGTTGGGCTCTGCCTTTGACTCAGGTCATGATCCCAGGGTCCTGGGATCAAGTCCCTCATCAGGCTCCCCCCTCAGTGGGGAACCTGCTTCTCCTTCTCCCTCTCCCTCTCCCCACCTGCTCCCCCACTCGTGCTTGTGCTCTCTTGTGCTCTCTGTCTCCCTCTCTCTCAAATAAATAAATAAAATCTTAAAAAAAAAAAGAAAAAAGAAAAAGACAAATGGCACTGTCATCTTAGCTTGGACACAGTTGCAGAGGTATAATTCCTCACCTTACCAAGCTATGGGTTTGTAACTTGAAGATACCAGTTAATGGGGATGGAGTGGTTGCTTGTGTTTTTAAGTTCACTGTAGTTTAGAAATGCAAGTTGATCTCAAAGCCCAGTAAAGATGAAATCAAAGTAAATTCTGTTACCCGGCATTCCCTTTACTGAAAGCCTCCCTTAAATGGCACTCCTACATAGTAAAGTGTGAGGACAAATGATGTTGTAAGGATGAGTGTGAAAAGCACTGCCACATCCTGAAATACCTTTTGAATCATGTTCCAAAAAAAATTAAATTATGGTTTCATTTTGAAGTTAAATAGGTTTTGTAGTCTAGTTCGAAATGTGGCTGGCCAAGTGTGGTAAGTATGGTAACCGTGAACTGGAGCAATAAATCAAAATACCGCATTCTCCAGATGATGGGTATTTAGCTGTATGTGGATCCCTTACCAATATATGTGCACACACACATATCTTATCACTTTCTCTCCCAACTTTCCAGACAGTCTCTACAGGAAATATTTTACTTCTATTTATATGGAATATATGTTATATGTATTTTTTAAGGCTTTGGAGCTATTTCGTAATTACAATTACAAATTTGAGAGAAGGAATTCCACTTAAGTTAAGCTCTTTTACTTACCAATCCATCTTTATCGTAGGGTGAATCAAAGTTATCCAGAAATTTCCTGAATACTTGTTCCTCTGTCCATTCTCCATTTTGGTACTTAGGGTGGTGTTTCACATTATACACCTCACGAAGATCTTCAATTGTTATAACGCCATCTCCAGTCTTGTCTAACTTCCTAAAAGCTTGCATAATCACCTCTTTTCTGGCTCTAGACATTGGAGGCTAGGTAAATAGAAGAAAAACGCATACGTAGACAACACAAAGGAGATTGCTTTGTATCATACGTCACGAAATACCTGATTCCTCTCAGTTGTATGACATGGTTTGCGTGCCGTTAAACAACGTGCATGACAATTACTTCAGAAAGTCCCTAAACCTGTTATCAATCTCCTTCCCATCTCCTCCACAGTGCACTGACAACTTCTGAAAACAAAACCTCAAAATAGCCAACCCCAACCATGTGAAAGCCAAACTCAGCAGATACAGTGATTCATGAGGCCACTTACTCTTAACGTGAGAAGGAATTCGTTGAAGTCTATTGTTCCGTTTCCATCTTTATCAAACCTCCGGAAGAGTTCTTCTGCCTCTTGCTTTTCCATGACCACAGCATAATCATTTAGCCCTTTCACAAATTCTTTGAAATCAAGGGTTCGGTTGTTATTGTCATCCATAATTCGAAACATTCTAAAGAAAAATACACGAAAGAAAGAAAGAAAGAAAGAAAGAAAGAAAGAAAGAAAGAAAGAAAGAAAGAACAAGGTGTAAGGATTAAGATTTAAAAATAAACCACTCTTAAGGTTTTTCAAAGTAAAATACGGATGCCCTGAATTCTGTTCTGTACCCTCCTCCCAAAATTGGAGAGCCTCTTCCCAGCATTCATTCTCGTAAAAGGAAATGTACTATGTGATCCTAATTCTATGACATCCTGAAAAAATCAAAGCTGTGGAGACAATTAATAGACAAGGGGAAGGGGAGAAGACAATAGGGGGACCACAGAGAATGTTTAGGGCAGTGAAACTATTCTGTGCAATTATATAATGGTGGATACGTGATCCTATGCACTTGCTAGTGCCCCTAGAATTTGATATATAAAGAGTAAACCTTAATGTGTACAAATTTTTTAAAAAATTATTTAGGAGGTCAGGGGATCCCAGGAAAGAATGCAGATAGTGACAAGAGAACCTGACTATATTACAAAAGTTTGAAACAATCTCACTGAAGGTGGGGGTGGGATATGCTGACTTAAGTAACTGTGGAAATGAGTAGAGTCCATAGGGATTAAAGGCAAAAGGAGGGATCCCTGGATCCCTGGGTGGCTCAGCAGTTTAGCACTGCCTTCAGCCCAGGGTGTGATCCTGGAGACCCATGATCGAGTCCCTGGAGACCCATGATCGAGTCCCACATTGGGCTCCTTGCATGGAGCCTGCTTCTTCCTCTGCCTGTGTCTCTGCCTCTCTCTCTCTCTCTCTGAGTCTCTCATGAATAAATAAATAAAATCTTTGAAGAAAAAAGGCAAAAGGAACTGCACATAAGCACTGGACCCTAGTTGATAAAGACATTCCCATGGAGATTTGAGTTAACAATTCTGCTATGCTATAAGGTATACTGGAATGGAACAATTAAGTAAATAGGTGGCAGATGGTGGAAGCGAAGTTTATCATTGTTGAATTGGAAATTTAGATACACCAGGGGAGGAGGCTGGAATGGTCTAATGCCTGTGGTAATGGGCTAGAGTTGGAGACATTAGTATGAATTTATGTTTAGCTTCATATAAACACAGATGATTACATACAAAAATCTCTACAGATCTGTACATATGCACACACATATATTTTCTTGTTCTGTCAGCTAAGAGAACCTAGAAGTAACACCCCAGTAACAAGCATGTCTAGAGCCTCAGTCTTGGTTTCTAACACAATTCTTCAATAAAAGGAATGGGGCTTCTTGGAGAAATGTCTGCTTCTAGGACCGGGGCATGAAATACGGAAGATAAGCTCGGAATATCTTATATCAGAAAGTAAGGAAGTGCTCCAGACAAAGCAAACAAAACTACCTTGATGGGGATACATCAGAGGGACACAGGAGCCAATTGAAAGAGCTTCCAAGGCCCAAATTTCAATAATTTCAGATACAAAATAGTGCTGAATTGTAACCCAAAGTATAAACTAAATACCTATTAATCTATATTGGTTTAAATAAATGATTAAATAAATAAATAAATAATGAATAAATAAATATTATTTGGAAAAAACAAATTACTCTAACAGAAGTATTCCAAATAAGTCATGCACATACTCTCTGCCCTCAAGGAGGGAAGCATCCTCCCCACTCCAAAGTGTGGCTCTGCATAGAGACTTCCTTCCAAATAGTACAATACAGAAAGAGGGGGGAACAGTAACTTTACATTGGAGAAGTCAGACAAACACTGACTCGGCCAGGTCATCAAGGTCAACTTCAGTAATGATAAGTCATGTTGACAGTATGCACCCTTAACATGAGGTGATGAAAATGGTGCTTTACTTCTGGGGGCCCAAAAAACCATAACCCCCATCTAATCATGAGGAGAACAGAAGGGGGCGGCTTCCACTTGACTTGAGGAGAGGCTGAGGGAAGAGCAAAACCAATAAATTGGGCAGAGGCAGAGGGCACATGGGAGCAAAAGGCCAAGAAAGAGCCAATAGGCTGGCTCCCAGGGGAAGGGCTGGCAGGGATTGGTGTGGGAGGTGGCAGCATAGGCAGTAAGAAGGACTCAGCTGAGCATGCCAATGAGTGGGAGATTGGGCAGTGTTCCTGCGGGCTTCACACCAAGGTCAATGAGATGGGTGCAGGAAGAAAGACGTGGAGGGTGGAGGTTGGGGTGATACCGTATTGAAGGGAAGTGGGCTAGTCCTCCCACTAGACTGTGACCACTGGCCACAGCCTGGGCTTCTGACAGCACTGGCCTTAGTCTGAGAATTTGAGACTGCAGTTGTGACATCCCCGACGCTCAGGAAGTGCCTCACAGGAAGAGAAGGCGTCTATAACCTCCACACGTGAGGCTGGATGCCCCTCCTGTGGCGCCCTGTGCTTCTGACACACACACCACCACCACAGAGATTCTCACTTTTGTGAGTCGAACTCCTCTAGTCTCAGTCCTGCCTGGGGCCTGGAGAAGCCTTGTTCACCCACGACCGTACAAGCACCTGGCCCACGGCAGGCTCTCCTGTAATCTGTCAAACAGATCTAGCAGGGGCACCTGGGTGGCTCAGTGGGTTAAGTGTCTGACTCCTGATTTTGGTTCAGGCCCTGATCTCAGGGTCCTGGGACAGAGCCCCCAGGTCAGGCTCCACACTCAGCTCAGCATCTGCTTGTCCCTCTCCCTGTCCCTGCTTATACACACACACACACTCTCTCTCTCTCTCTCTCTCTCTTTCTCTCTCTCTCAAATAAATAAATAAATAAATAAATAAAATATTTTTAAAGAGAGAGACATGGGATCCCTGGGTGGCGCAGCGGTTTAGCGCCTGCCTTTGGCCCAGGGCGCGATCCTGGAGACCCGGGATCGAATCCCACATCGGGCTCCCGGTGCATGGAGCCTGCTTCTCCCTCTGCCTGTGTCTCTGCCTCTCTCTCTTTCTCTCTCTGTGACTATCATAAATAAATACAAATTAAAAAAAATTAAAAAAAAATAAATAAATAGAATGCACAGGGCCTGCCCACTGAAGGGCAACAATCTCTTTCTCTTTAGGTGTCCTGGTCTTGAGGACTTCCCACGCCCTCAGAGGGCTGGAGGATAGGCCCTACAAAGCCCGGAGAACCCCACTGGCAGTGAACATCCCACAGGCAACTTCAGCGCCCCCTGGAGGTGAGCAACACAGGGCAGCCTGAGAACAACCTTCTCTCTCTTCCAAGCCGGGTCCTATTGTCACAGCTTCCCGCAGTGTCTCTCTCCACGCCCTGTAGGGTGTCTACAGGACCTGGCCATGCTCCTCCCTGCACTTCCAGTTGTCCCAGTAGCCTTGCTGAATCTAGGACAAAGAACTAAAAATTGTCACAAGGGACTTCAGAGATCAATTTCTCCAAACTGCATTTTACAAATAGGGAACAGAGAGCTTACTTAGGAGGCCAAGACGTGCTCACGGTCACACAGCTGGTAATAGCCTCACCTGGCTGTGTCCTGCCTCTCTGCTTCATCCCCCTGCCACCCCACGGCTGGGATCCTACCTGCCAAGCCCTTTGATGCCTGCGGACCCCCTGGCCAGGCACTGCAGTCGGAGTCTTTCAATGGGGTCGGTGGCCGTGGTGAGCTTTTTCTTGGCCTGGATGGCCATCTCTCGATCATGGCGCGCTGTCCCCGCCATCTAGGAGGAGAATTTTCAGCACATTAGTGGAGCTCGGTCCTCACCAGCTGCTTCTGGCTGAGCAGGGTGACAGCAGCCTCCCCCAGAAGGAAAACACTCTCTCATCTGCTTCCCGGGAAAAGCCTCAAACCTCCCAGAATTTCCAACTTTTGGCTAGACCAACTATGTGCCCGGCATATTTCTTACGTCTTTAGTCCTGAAGACATCTGATTTCTCCAACCTGGACAATGATTATAAAAAGCCTTTCCCAGAGACACTTTCATCTTGTCTAAAACCCTCTTCCCGCCATAAAAAGTCCCACCCTCCCATACTCTCCTCTTGAGCCACCCTTATATGTTTTATTCTTTTATTTAGCATCTACATATTCCCTTTGACTCCACATTTAATATTCTCCTTTCTGGTCCGAACATTAATTTTTATTGTTTCTGTCTGAGAATAATCTGAGATTCTCCACACTGGGCCTTAATAATCCCTACCAGTAACTAGCGTGTTTAGATTACCAGGTTAGTGCCCATTAACACCTGGATTCTTAGGCCAGAGAGAGGTAAATAGACTACTCTCTCCTGGACACAACCTCTCTTGTGACAAATAGATAAAATATCTTTTTGTTTTTCTACAGTTTGGCTTTTGTGTTTTGAATATTCAGAATGAGAAGAGGGTGGGTGCAGTGAGGCTCCCCACTAGGAGGTCCCACATACAGACTCCTGCAGCGGGGCCTGGGCGTTCAGAAGCCGCAGGACAGTGTGAAGTGCTCTGGGCCAGGAGCCTGGAGACTTGGGTTCTAGTCCAGTCTCCATCCCCACTCCCAGCGATGTCTGAGCACATCTCAGGGCCTCTGGTTTCTCCTCCTCTGTCAAATGAAAGGATTGAATTAAAGGATCCAGATTCTTCCCTGCTAAAAAGCAACTAATCCTCCCATGAGCTCACTGACCCAGTAAATGAGGGGGTCTAGAAATTACTTTGCTTAACGTGAGTTGTGAACGAAGGAAGGAGCAAGCCAGTTGAGGGGCATGCAGACACAACATTCAAGTGCAGACAAGGTGGGGTTGGAATGGATCTGCCCTGGGCTCAAGGGGCCCCCAACCTAGGCCACCTGTTGGCACTTCCCCTGAGGGCCGCATTAGGAGTGGATTCTTTTCATGGGAGATGCCAACCTCCGGATCCATGCTCTCTAAGTCTGTTCCAGTCTACGGCCATACCACCCTGAACACGTCCGATCGCGTCTAAGTCTGTTCCTCTCCAAGACAAGCGGCCGGTTCTCCCTACAAAGATCTCATTGTGTAAGTTTGGAAAGAGGGAAGCTCAGACTGGAAACTGAGACCAGAACAGATAAGTCAGGGACGCGAATGCTCAACTGTCTCATTTCCTACCACACCTCCTAGGAGCCAGCTCATAGGCTCCCTCCTTCTTGACCTGCAAACTGGTCCCCTCTACATCTGGGGATTGGGGTAACTCCTCTCAGTTCTGTCGGACACCAGGGCAAGAAGGGGGCCTTTGTCTGTTAGGTCCTGTGGCCACTTCTGTCCACTTTAAGAAGAAACTGCTGTGCCCAAAGCTACGCAGATCCCTCCAGCACCCAAGGCTGTGCCTGCCAGCGTTCCAGATGGCCATGTGCCCGTCTTGGAGATGTCCCCCCCTGCACCCGGGGCCTGTACCAAGAGTGGTCAAGCTCACCAACAATCTCACCCCCAGCCCAAGTCAGCTGCCTCCCTGGCAGCATCAGCTTTCTTAAAACCTGCATTTTCCTATTACTATTTTGTCACCTGACGTCAAACTGACAACTCCTGGAGCTTGATCCCAGCTTCTAGACCTGATGCCAACCGCACAGAATGCTTTGGCCACAACCAGGGTCCTGTATTTCTGTACAAAAGCACCAGGTCCCTCTCGTGGCCTCCTGCTCCCTGACGCATCCAGCCTCGCCAGAGGTACGTACCTCCTTGCCCCGACCATACGCTGCCAGTGGCCCCAGCCCCAGCCTCCCAGGGGGCTGCACCTCGCGCTCCCTTCCACCACTGGAGCAGAAAAGGCAGCGATCGGGGCCCTCCTCATTCTTACACCCACGCAGGGTCTGCTTCTTCCTGACCTGATGTCCTTCCTGCCCCTCCCCTTGCTCAGTGCTACCTGCCCAGTGGCTAGCCCCGCCACTCACCCCCCTGCCTTTGTCACCCTTCCCTTCCCTCTCTGGTTTGCCACACTGGCCACGGGGGCAGGCGGGGAATAGAGAGACACACAGGCTAAAAACCAGTAAAGGGAGAAAGTGAGAGCTGGCTCCCATGTGTGAGAAACGTCCATTGAAAGAACCCGTGTAGGGCCCTGGTTACACACCTTCAGGATGACATTAATAACTTCAATCGCTCCACTACATGGTAAGCACATGCTCAGTCCTCACAAGAACCCTGGATGCTGAATGGAAGACAGAAACTCAAACAAATACACGCCCATCGTGTTCACAGCAGCATTATTCACAATGGCCAAAAGGCAGGCCCAGCCCAAATGCCCATCCGCAGGCGAACAGATGCTCAGAATGTGCTTCAGCTTGTCCAAGGCCCCCAAGTTCTCAATGCACTACTTCCATGTGAACCCAGGTTTAGGATCATAGTCACCCTACATTGCTATCTACTGTTCCCACCTACTGCCTGGTCCTTTTGTATTAGTGTAAAACTTGACACACGTGAAAAGAATCTACTCATTCACTAATTCAACAGCTATTTGTTTTGGGTAGACAGTGTTGGTCAGAGTCGGCTAGGTGCTATGAACACACAGTTCTGTCCCTGTTCCTGGGGAGCCCAGATTTCACTAGTGGATGGAGAAGGTGAAGAGCACATGGATTATTATGGTACAGTGAGAAAATACACTTGATTAGTGCGCGACCAGAGAGCCATGGGAATTGGGGAAGTAGCCTCAAACCCAGGCCTTGAGGGGTGAGGAGCAATTCAACAGGCTGAGAACAGGACAAAGCCACTCATGAGAGAAGAAGCTTCATGTACAAAGACAAGAGAGTAAAGCCAAACAACAGAATATTACTCAATTATAAAAAGGAATGAGGTACCGACACATGCTACATTGTGAATGAACCTCAAAACCACCAAGCCTGGTGGTTTCACTTAGCCAAGTGAAAGAAGCCAGACACTGAATGTCACATATTGCAACGATTCCATTTATATGAAACATCCAGAACGGTCAAATGTGTGGGGACAGAACATGGGACTGGTTGTTGCCAAGGCCTGCGGGGGAGATGGCAATGGGGAGTGACTGCTCAATAGATATAGGAAATTTGGCAGGATGGGGACGGTGCTGAAAATGTTTTGGGGGGATCCCTGGGTGGCTTAGCGGTTTGGCGCCTGCCTTTGGGCCCGGGGCATGACCCTGGGGTCCTGGGATCGAGTCCCACGTCAGGCTCCCTGCATGGAGCCTGCTTCTCTCTCTGCCTGTGTCTCTGCCTCTCTCTCTCTCTCTCTCTCTCTCTGTCTCTCTCATGAATAAATAAATAAAATCTTAAAAAAAAAAAGAAAAGAAAAATGTTTTGGAACCTGATACAGGTGGTGGTTGCACAACATTAGTAATGTACACATATTTTTAAATGACTAATTTCATGTTATATAAATTTCATATAAGTTTTTTTTTAAAAGCCCCATGGCCAAACTGGAAGGAGCCTCGGTGTCCATCGAAAGATGAATGGATAAAGAAGCTGTGGTCTATGTATATGATGGAATATTCCTCAGCCATTAGAAACGACAAATACCCACCATTTGCTTCTACGTGGATGGACCTGGAGGGTATTATGCCGAGTGAAGTAAGTCAATCGGAGAAGGACAAACAGTGTATGTTCTCATTCATTTGGGGAATATAAATAATAGTGAAAGGGAATAGAGGGGAAGGAAGAAGAAATGGGTAGGAAATATCAGAAAGGGAGACAGAACATGGAAGACTCCTAAGTCTGGGAAACGAACTAGGGGTGGTGGAAGGGGAGGAGGGCGGGGGGTGGGGGTGACTGGGTGGCGGGCACTGAGGGGGGCACTTGACCGGGTGAGCACTGGGTGTTATTCTGTATGTTGGCAAATTGAACACCAATAAAAAATAAATTTATTATTAAGAAAAGAAGAAAGAAAGAAAAAGAAAGAAAGAAAGAAAGAAAGAAAGAAAGAAGAAAGAAAGAAAGAAAAAGAAAGAAAGAAAGAAAGAAAAAGAAAGAAAGAAAGAAGAAAGAAAGAAAGAAAGAAAGAAAGAAAGAAAGAAAGAAAGAAAGAAAGAAAGAAAGAAAGAAAGAAAGAAAGAAAGAAAAAAGAAAGAAAGAAAGAAGGAAGGAAGGAAGGAAGGAAGGAAGGAAGGAAGGAAGGAAGGAAGGAAGGAAGGAAGAGCCCCAAGAGCCGGTCATAGCTATGATCTCTGTTTCAAAGATAAAGCAACTGGGGCCCGGTCCCCGTGGCTCCCCGGAAGCCGCACCGCGTTGGGGCAGTGAGCCCCTAGGGATCTAAGGTGGGCGCTGCTGAAACTTGCCCCAGAGTCTTGCCTGCCCCCAGACACGGATGTCCCGACTTTCAAGCCGAGCTCCCTGTACCTCGCAGCCTTTGTGAAATGACAGGAAAGACTCGGAGAGCGCAGGGCGGGGAGGGGGGCACTCGCAGGGCAGCCTCCTGCGGGGTCCAGCGCCAGGGGCACCCTGCACCACGCGAGTGGCGACCTCTGGAGTTGACTTCGATATATTCAGGGGGAAGAACAGTCCGTTCTCTCCTGCCAGGCGGACACTGGCCCGGCGCCCCTGGTTCGGACCAAGTCCCCGAACGCCGAGCGTGTTTCGCGCCGCGTCCAGGTCCCGGGTGCCGGGGACGAAGGGTCACGCTGCACGCGAGCCCTGGAATAGCGCAGGCTCTTACACTTGCTTTGAGCTTAACCACCGAAGCCCGGGGCTTAATTAGGACCCGAGACAAAGTTCGGGAAGAACTGGGAGGTTTCAGGCCAGGCCGCGATGGGGGAAGGGTGACGAAGGGCGACCCGCACGC